CTGCTTCCTTGGGTTTGGGCAAAGAACTTTGGCGTAGGCTCTGCCACACGGTCGTTCTCTGCGCCTCGCCGCAGCCTCCGTTTTCGTGTCTTTCCGTTTCTTCTCGCGCATAGCCTCTGAATGCGGCATGCATGTCAACGGGCCTAGATATCTCGTCCACATCTGTCCTCGTGCCTTCTTCTTGGGGTCCGGAGCTTTCTTGGCTACGTGCGCCGGCCTGGGACGTGCAGCAAACCCACTAACCTGAGCTGGTCACAGTCCATATGGAGGATGCGGGAGATGGCGTTTGTGGCAGGCTTGGGAGGGCGAGGCTCGGCCAGCTGCATAGACCTACTTGATGGGCAGGACCTGGACAAAGCCGGGCATTCTTTGCCACACTCTGCGTACCGTGCGGGAAACTGGCCTCCATCAAGATCGTCTCCAGTTTGGGCATCATGTCCCACAAGGCATGTGAGGCCTTGCCGCAGAAGCCTGCCACGTTGCTTCGACTGTATCCGTGCCGCACCTGGTTCGGCGAAGAGGGGGTTGCGAGCGGAGTACTGCCGGCAGAGGCAGCCCTCCGTTCATCTACATATATATATATATATATGCACGCATACTGATGCGAAATCTCGCCATTCATATGTAAATCTCATTAAAAGGCGTCCGCACTCGGGTGATTTTTTTGTCGCTAGGTGATGTTAGACAAACCCGAAGTCGCGTGGACATTCATCGAAATAGCAGAGGTCGCCCGCGGGTGGCATAGCAACCGAATCGATACCACATCTCTGTCCATGGGTTTCGCTTGTGTAGACTCTTGCTAAGGGCTCCCTGTGCTCGCCATGACGCACCTTCCAGAAACAGGGCTGGAGTTGGAAACCACTTGACAATCACACAAAAAGTATCTTAATACAAAGCAGGCCGACTGCTTAGCAAGGCCTCTCCCTCCCAGGTATAGTGGCGTGGAAACCCGCGTCTGTTGCGCGCAGGTCTGTGACGTGCTGCAGGGTCAGCACATCCTGCAGCCTTCCGCCCCACACGACGACGGAGCCGTCGTCACCTTAACGTGCCAACGAAACGCTTCCCGAACGGCCCGCCTTACTAACTTACACGTGCAGGTGCCATCAGCGCATCTTCGGTCGAGAGGCGCAGGGCGGCAAAGGAGGCGCCCGGGGAGCAAACCCGCATGACGTGCTTCAGCTGCCCCTCCACCAACGCCAGCCCGCTTGGTGGCTCTGCACGCACAGACCCCTCGTGCAAAAGGACGCACTCTTTCCCCGCGTAAACGCGCGGTTCCACAAGAGCCCTCTAGAGCCGCCGCATGCTTCCCCTAAACCCCTAAACTCCTACACCGCCTACACCCCTAAACCCTAAGCCCTAAACCCTATAGGAACCTTAGAGATCCCCTATAGATCCCTTGAAGGAACACAGCCGAAAGGCCTGGGATAAACGAATCCACACTCGCCGCTCCGAGTGTAAACTCCTCGCTTGGCTTTCTGTCGTCTTGGAACGGAGTTTAAGGGTTCCTTTAAGGTTCCTTTACGGGTTTCTTAACGGGTTCCTTAACGGGTTCCTTTTTAAGGGTTCCTTTAAGGGTTTCTTTACGGGTTCCTGTAAGGGTTCCTTTTAGGGTTCCTTAAAAGGTTCCTTTAAGGGCTTCTTGAAGGGTTCCTATAAGGGTTTCTTGAAGGGTTCCTTTAAGGGTTCCTTTAAGGGTTTCTTGAAAGGTTCCTGTAAGGGTTCCTGTAAGGGTTCCTTTGAAGGTTCCTGTATATAAGGGTTCCTGTAAGGGTTCCCTGTAAGGGTTCCTGTAAGGGTTCCTGTAAGGATTTCTTCAGATTTAAAGGGATCTATAAGGGTACTACAGAGTTGCAACGGGGTTGAAGGTTTAGGGGTTTAGTGGGGTTTAGGGCTTAGGGTTTAGGGGTTGAGGGTTTAAGGGTTTGCGGTTTAGGGGTTTTGGGTTTAAGGGTTTAGGGGTTAGGGTTTAGGATTTTGGGGTTCAGCGTCTAGGGGCTCGGGCACTGTAATTTGGTTTCATTGTGGTACAGTCAAGCTTTGCAAGGTCTATGAATAGAATTTGCATAGGCCGATTTTTGAGCAATGCTTCGAGGGCACCTGCATAGGCCTTAAAACCCTAAACTGGACTTTGAAAGAACCAGTGCGAAAAAAGCTTAGACCTTTGTTTCATGATGAAAGGAACAGGTCCCTCAACACGCACTAAATTATGATACTCCAGAACCGAGTAAGGCTTCATCCCCAATACCCCAAACCCTTAAGAGTCCTAGACCCTAAACTCTTAGACCCTTAACCCTGAACCCTTAAAGCCCTAAACCTTCGACCCCAATACCTGACCTAAACCCCAAACCCCAAACCCTAAACCCTAAACCCTAAACCCCCCTTATAGTAGTTCCTTAATCCTAATACCTGACCTAAACCCTTAAAGCCCTTGAGGAAACCCTGCCCCGGAGATGTAGCCACAAACCCCAATACCTACCCTGATACCCTATTACCTCCTTTAAGGATTCCTTTAAGGGGTTCCTTTAAGAGGTTCCTTTCTACTACCTTAATACCCTTGAGGAAACCCGACCTCGGAGATGTAGCCACAGGAGGTGGCCGTCAGAGTCGGGTCTTTCTTGAGAGCTTGCGCCTGGGTGATGCCGAAGGACATCCTGGGATGAGGGTTTAGGGTTTAGGGTTCAGGTTTGGGTATAGGGTGTAGGGTTTAGGATTTCCGGGTTCTAGGGATGAGGGTGTCCGGAGGTCAGGTTCAAGGATTCAGGTTTGGGGTGTTTGGGGTTACGCCCTAAACCCTAGGCCCTAAGCCGGGCAGCTGTGGGGACATAGGGCTGAAAAGTCCTGCAAGGTTTAGGAATCACGCCCCAGAAACTTCGGAGGGATGTTTTGGGGGTGTCGGCACTTCGATAGCATCTCCTCCTTACCAGGCTTTCGATTGTTTGAACCCAGCCCCGTACCAAAAAAAACTACGAAATGTTCCCAGCCGGAACCTACATGGGCGTGTCTTGGCCTAAACTCATTTTTCGCTGTAATCCTCCGGCCAACTACCCTAAACCCTCAACCCTTAAGTTGCTGGCTCTCTTGTCATCAAAGCTTGGCTTGAATTCTCGGGCACCTTCTTTAACTTTAGGGTTTGGGGGTTTAGGTTTTAGGGGTTTGGGGCCTTAGGGGTTCAGGGCTTAGGGGTTTAGGGTTTAGGGTTTAGGGTTTAGGGGTTTAGGGTTTAGGGTTTAGGGTTTAGGGTTTAGGGGTTTAGGGTTTAGGGTTTAGGGTTTAGGGTTTAGGGTTTAGAGTTCATTTTCACGCCCCCAACTTGTCCGGCTAAAGCCTTTCATTCCAATCATCTTGAATCTTGCCCTCGACGGAGCACACGCTACTTTTTCGTAGGATCCCAAGAGAATCCTGTGCTAGGGCTTGTGTTAAGATTCTACAGCAGACTAGACTATGATAGTTCAGGGTAAATCCAACAAGCAGTATTTGAAGGATCAGAAGACTTAACGCGTAGGTTACGGAACAGACTATGACTATGGTAGTTAAAGGACCAAAAGCAGCAAAGGTTCACGTTTCCCTGCGCATGCTCCGTTTCCCTGTCGCTGCAGTCGGCTCGCTCCCTGGTCTGACATGAAAACGCAGGTTTGGGGCTTAATAGTTTAGGGATTCATGGTTAACTTAAGGGTTCAGGCTTAAACCGGTAGCATAGGGGCCTTTCCAAGAGTTGCTGTTAGGACTACAAGGAAAACCATAAGGGTTGCTATAAGGGCTACTATGGGGGTTAAACGCTTGGGGTTTAGGGTTCAGGGCTTTCGGGGCCGGAATAGTTAGAAGATGGTTTGGCAGTGTTTTGGTAGTAAAACCATTATATATATATATATATATATAAGGACTATACGGAGATAATCATGCTGAGATGTCGGCCCTTTCCTTGAACCGCTAAGCCATATTGTGGTGACCGGACAAAGAACATCCTCAGAATAAGGTGCAAGACATGCACGATCATGAAGGCCTTCTCATCATGAAGTGTAGAATAAGGTACAACCCCAGGGACCCTGAACCCTAAGCCCTAAACCTTACTTGGAGGGTCGGGGGACTTAGTAAGTAGGTAGTAAGTAGACTTGTAAGTACCCTAAAAGGGACTCTAATTGGGGGTTATGGTACTTATAAGTCCCTAAAATAACCAGTTACTAAGTCCCCCTAAACCCTGAACCCTATACCCTTATAGAATCCCTATAGGTCCCTTTAAAGGGGCCCTTAAGGAACCCCTTATGGTTACTAACAGGCAGGCGGCAGCAAGAGCGCCGGCTCGCGGACAAAGGGCAGGCCGACAGCCCCGAGATCGCAAAGGCACGCCGCCATCGCTAAAGCGAGCTCCCGGGGGGTTTAGGTTTTTTGTTGTTTAAAGGGTTTAGGGTCTAGGGTAAAGAGGGTTTTAGGGGTTTAGGTTCTAGGCTTTAGGGTTTAAGGCTCAAGATGCAAGATTTTAAGTTTAGGGTTTAGGGTTTAGGGATGGAGTGCTCTTCAGAATAATCACGACAGAACTAGTAATAAGAATCTGCAGGGTATTGGGCATGTCCATCTGTTTGGAGTTCTACTTCTTGGTGGTTGTCTTGAGTATACATCGCGGCCACACGACGACTGGGCATTAACCCAGAGATCCAAGTACGGAACGTACTTTCATAAATCATAAAATTAAGCCCTCTAGGGTGCTTAAGTAAGACGGTGCTGGGCTCTCGTTGGCACAACCCTCCAAGAACCAGTCGCGGCACCAGACCCTATACCCTAAACCCCTTACAGAGCCCTGACAGAACCCTACTCCCGAAACCCCGCTTTAGAACTCTAAAAGAACCCCAACCCACCTTTCTTAGTTGCTGAGTTCATAAGCCTCAAAAAACGTACACTTTAAATGTACACTTTCAGTTTCATAGTGGGTAATATTATCCCAGAAAGTGCAAAGTGTATCCACTCAGCTACCCACCATTTCAAAGTGCGCGAGCTGAGGCTCTCGCCGGGCAGCCGCCTGCTTGGCGTTCAGGAAAATCCGGGCCTCGCCCATGGCCTTCTGGGCCTCCTGGACAGCCTTCACAAAGGGTTAGGGTCTCGGGTTTAGGGTTTAGGGTCTAGGATCTTTAGGGTTTAGGGTTCAGGGTTTAGGATTTAGGGCTTAGGGTTTAGGGTTTGGGGTTTAGGGTCTAGGGTTTAGGGTTCAGGATATAGGGTTTAGGGTTTAGGATAGGGCTTCGGCCTTCACAAAGGGTTCAGTAGCTAGGATACCCAGTAACCTAAGAATAAAAAGGCCTCTCTTTTTGGTATTGGGTAACTTTATAAGGAACCTAGGCCTTCGCAAGATTTAGGGTTTAGGGTTTAGGACTTTAGGGTTTAGGGTTTAGGACCTTTAGGGCTTGGGGTTTAGGATCTTTAGGGTTTAGGGTTTAGGACTTAGGGTTTGGGGTTTAGGATCTTTAGGGTTTAGGGTTTAGGGTTTAGGATTTAGGATAGGGCTTAGGCTCCTGGACAGCCTTCACAAAGGGTTCAGTAGAGACTCCAATATCCCTCAATCAAGGAACATACCTGAAATTATAATAGGACCCTACTATGATTTAAGGAATATTCCTTAACTCTCTTCTTCAACAACCAGGCCCCAAAAAGTTCAAACTTTCTAAGATAGAGCTAAATTATAAGGCCAAAAGATTTAAAGCTCCCCCGTTCACTAAGTAAGATTTGGGAACGTTTCGGGTTTAGGGTTTACGGCTTAGGGGCTGAGGGGTTTTGGGGGGGTTTCAAAGAGGTTCAGGCCAGGGCTTGGGAACTTCTTGGGGTTCAGGGTAAACCCTAAACCTTAGCTACGGCCCCCATGCAGTAAGAGTCTGTAATAGGGCTACTATTAAGGTCCTACTATATCTATATTATGAATATTATTCCACTGTTACTGAGGGCCGTACCCAAGGGTTTGGAGTTTAGGGTTGACGAGCTTCGAAAGGTTGAAAATAGCCACCGCCCTGCCACCCGTTAGCAGAAAGCTGTCCTTGACAACAGGGCGCTCAGTGTACTGGTCAAGTCCCGGGAATGTCTGGGTCAGAGAAAAATCTAGCTCGCTGACATGAAAGTGTGGAGTGCGGAGTGAAGTGCATGAGCTCTGGATGTTTCGACACCATTTTCTTGACCGCCTTTTCAAACTCTTCATCATCTATAGCATCATCTGCATACTTCCCAAGCAATCTGATGTACTTCTTTGCCTCACTGCCTTGCGTATCCGTATGCCGGGAAGGTTCGACGGCTCGAATCGGCGCCAAGTAGCCGATAAAGTCCTTGGCTGGGCCAGGCATTCTTGCATACCTGGTTTCAAGTCGAACGACAAGTTCATTGTAGTGGTCCTGGTGTTTATGTCCTGCCAGCATGCCCAAGATCACCAGTGGCGCCTCCGCAATGGGAGGCAAAAACGATGGGGCATCAGCAGGCACTGTGCAATCAGGAATTGTTTCCGGGCTGAGAACAGCGTCATATCATTTGTAAGCGCTTTGGGTGGCTTGGGAGAGTTTAGAGTTTACCTTCCAAGGGTTAAACCCTACTGTCACCTAACCCCGAAACCCCTATTGTGGGTCTAGGGTTTAGCTTCAAAGGGCTCCCACCACGGGATCAAGGTGGATCCTTACCCCAAACATTTTAGGTCCCTGAACTATAGAACCCTTCTAAACACATCATTGAACGTCAGCCCACTGACCCCAACCCTGCTAAATACCTAAATCCCTAAACCCTTATATCCAGAACGTTTAGGCCCTTGATCCCTAAAGCCCTAACCCGCAAACCCTCATAGAAGCCCTATCAGGAGAGGCACCCTCAAAGGAACCCTTCACCCTTACAAACCCCAAAAGATCCCGCAGGAGGAGGAAGACGCGGCCTGCTCCGTTGAAGTCACGGCCTGACAAGTCGGGGTTTAAGGCTTTTCGAAGTGGATTTCGGGACTCGGCTTCAGGGTTCTATAAGGGTTCTATCATGGGTTCTATGACACGGTTCAGGGCTTTGGGGTTTGCGGGTTTCCATGAGTAGGCCATTGGGAAGCTATCAGGGATTCTAAGAGAGGTTCTTTCCATGAGGAGCTTTGTAAGGGCTCTAACAAGGGATTCTATGAATAAGTTCCGGCTTTCGGGACTAAGGTTAAAAGATTGTGGGATTCGCACTTAGGGCTAATGACGGTTGGGTCAAGGGTTAACCACACAGGTTGGAACGAAACTGCTGCTGCACTGGTAACCGTAATGCTGCCTACTAACGCCGACAATAGTTTGTGTGGCTGTTCTTGAACGGAAAGCAGTCTGTTCCACAGGAGCCAGAACAAGTCTGCTCTAAGATGTCCTGCAAGCACCTTCTTGCTTCTAACCATGCGAGCATCATTGCTGCTTTGGCATGGAATGAAACATGGTCTGGCAATAGTCTCCTGTGCAAGTCGCAGACTTGAAACCAATGAATCCTCACCTCTCTCAACTACTCAGAAGCCCAACAAACTTTAGTAAGTAGGCTATAAGTAGGTTCGCAACCGGGTACTCAACCATAACATGCTTACGAAGTCCCTGTTCCATTTCACGAGCCTCCAGACATCCTGAACCCATGTAGAACCTCTGCAGAACTCATATGAAATCCTTGCAGAAAAGACCTAATCCCTTAACCCTTCTTTTTGGAACTTTAGAGAACCCCGTGGCATCCGGTCCCTTGTTCCAGGAAGCCGCAACTGACCGTTAAGCTTTACGGCCGGTCCTAGGGTATACTGAAGATGCGACCATCCACGGTAGATATGGGCGTCTCTTACTCTTACTTCGTCGCCAAGTAGAGGGCTTCCATGAAAGGAGCCCTACCCCTTGAGCCAGTAACGCTCATAACCTCAAACCGTGAATCCTTAAATTTTCACGGAATTCATAGAACACTTGAACATTCCCACACATGCCGGCCGACAGAAAGATGAGAAAGCTACTACTGATGAGGATGAGGGTTCAGGACCCTCATCCGGATAATCTGCTTACCAAGCCCCTCCAGCCCTCATGCCTGAACCCTGAACTTTCCTCTACTGAGCCTTAAACTTCAGCGCCGGAATCCTCAGGAATACCACTGGCAATTTTTCAGACCCCTTGGGCTCCCCCAATGGCCTGTCTGACTTCATCCATGTCATCGCCACCCGCGGTGATCATCTCTGAGGTGATTACAGCTTTCTCCACGGCATCCTGTGCGTGAGCGTCAGGCAAATTAGGCGTGCCAAGATGCGATCTCTGGCATCGCAGTACAATTACTGCTGCTACTAGCATGGTGACACCGACCACCACCACCACTACCACCTCACCCCCACTACCACCACCACCACCTCCACCCCAAGCCAGAGGTGCACTGTAGGATCTCAGACCCTTGGTCGCCTGACTCACTCAGATTGATTTCCATGAAGGTAGCTGTACGGACAAACTCTTCTTCGTTCCTGACCAAGACCCTGTATGGCCACGACAATGATAGTCAACTCACGAAGAACTGAAGACGAGAGGTACCACGATCGGCAGCCGAAATCACAATACTACATGGGAGTTTTCGCGAATAGGGGACCCTAATATAGTACCCTAAATAGTAGGATCCTTATTCTAGGGCCCCAAAATAAGGTACCCCTAATTTTCGGAAACTCCCAAATGGCAGGATTTATACTGGCGAAGCTCAGGCCCAAGACTCGCATGTGGCCGCTTTCCGGCTCAAGGCTCGAAGTAACCCTACTTGGAGGGGCAGGGGACTTAGTAAGTAGGTTATAAGTAGGTTATAATTGGGGGTAACTCCATTTAGATCCATTTAGGGTACTTATAACTCTACTTATGACCTACTTACTAAGTCCCCTGCCCTTCCAAGTAACATACGGGCCTTAATCAGTAGAAAAGGGTTTGGGGTTCCTGTATACGGGACCCTGAGGAATAATATTGGCAAATATTTCGGCCCCTATAATACTGTAGCAACCCCCCGAAATGCGGCGACTCTGAGCCCACAAGTGGGCCCACCTCCGCGGCGTTGGCTTTGCTGACGGCCTCGGGAAGCACCTCCCAGGGAGTACCCAGAGACTCCCTAATCCCGTCGTTCTGCAATACACTCTGAATTCAGGGTTGAAGGTTTAGGGACTAAAGTCAATTACAGTAGGATCCCTCTGTGGATGCACTTCAAGTAACATTCCTTAACTTACAGGGCTTTGGGATCTTTGGGCACCATTTCCAGTTCAGGGTCTGAACGCTTAAAGCGCGTAATGAATACTGCAGTGTATATCTGGTATGTATATGTGTATATATGCCTCTACTTCTACACATATGTGTACATACGTGTATATACGCATGTGTATGTGTGTATGTATGTATGTATATATACATACATACATACATCCATGCATGCATGCATACATACATATAAGCATACTCTTCTACATATATACATACATACGTGCATGCATGCATACATGCATACCTGCATACATACATTCATGCATGCATGCATACATACATACGTATATACGTATTGCGAAAGCAAATATTTCTGTACATGCGCGTGCATGTGTTTATGTATATATACATATACATACATATGTAATTATTTGTGTGTGTATATATGTGAACAGATACATGGTATGCATGTTTGCACGGCACATGAAAGAGCACCCAGCCTCCTGGAAGACCGCCATGTCCCGCTCTTCCAGTGCTTTCTGCTTCTCACTCGCCTCTGCCTGTATGTGAGTTTCCGGGTTCCTTTAAAGGGTTAAGGATTTTCGATAATTAGGGGTACCTTACTGAGGCATCCTTATCATAAGGATCCTAATATTTAGGGTACTATACTGGGATACCCTATTTTCGGAAACTCCCGTATCACAGGGCTTGTAAGACCTAAACCCCTGAACGCCTAAGGGATGCAACCTAAGTTACCATAACGGGGATCTGGAGTACATATTCTGGTTTCTTTTTTTGGTAACTTGAATGAAACCCCACCCCAACCGAAACCCTAGAACGTGACCCGCAAAACATCAAAACTCTAACCCCCGGAAACCGGATTCAATTCGGGGGGTCAGTCGAGGTCCGGTTTCGGGGTTTGCTGAGTTGGGGTTAGAGCCTGAGCCTTCCCACCTACTTTAGGGGCCTTCACAGTTACCTATACTATTTGCTTGGGCTCCTTTCTATAATCTTAATATAATGGGCCCTAAAAGCCCTATTCTAATTATAAAAATTCTGAAGGCCCCTGTATCAGGGTTGCAAAGGGCCTAGGAGTGCTTTGGTAGCTCATTGAAGAGCTGCCACAAGGCTTCCATGAAAGGGCTCCTTAACGCACGGAAAAGTTGTTATGAAGGTTCTATAAGGGTTCTATGATGTGGGGGCTTTCATCATGGAATAGGTTTTGGGATATAGTATTATCCCACAACTGTACTAAGGAACCCTAAACGACAACATTGGCAGTTACAAGTATTCAGGCTTCTAAGTTGTATGTTGGGTACGGCCCCAACTCAGTAATAGTTGAATAATATTCATAATAATGACATATAAGGACCTTAATAGTAGCCCTATTATAGACTCTTACTGTAAGGGGGCAGTACCTAAGTTGTATGATGCTTGCTTGGTTTTGGGTGTCTGGGGTTTGGGTCCAGGGTTCCGGCCATGGGGTTCAGGGCCGTTTAGGGCTTAGGGCCCTACTTGGAAGGGCAGCACAACTAAACCCCAAACTCTACACCCAAAACCTTCAACCCTAAACCCAAAGCCTTGAACCCCCAAACTGAACCGGCTGAGTAGGTAACCTTTAACATTTTTGGGGTCTATAACCCTATACCCTAAACCCTATTCCTACTAATTTGAAAAAGTTAGCCTGTTTTGGGTTAGCTAAGGCTTGGAGTATGGAGAACCCAGAGACTCCAATATCCTTCAATTAAGGAATATTCCTTAAATTATAGTAGGATCCCTAATATGATTTAAAGAATATTCCTTAACTAAGGGATATTGGAGTCTCTGTGTAACTGTACATAGTCTGCGGGCTGGCTGTTGTGCTGTATGCTTTTATGCATGCTCTTCTGTAATTCGTATTCATAACATTTTTGGCTCAAGTGAGCACGGCAGTGTGTCGTTGGTAGCTTCTCGTTGCCGCGACGCAATTGCGCGCAGCCCGTCCTGGGCGGACGTTCGACCTGTCACGGTCGTTGGACTTTCTGCTTGGACGGAAAACGAGGGTGCGTGCTGCCCCTTTGGGTTTCCGTTCTCCACAATTGGGGGCTGTTCTGGGAAACGGCCACCCAGGCGGCTGCTGCGCCGCAATCTTTTAACGTGGCCTCGAAGGCGCGCTTGTCGTGCGCCTTGAGGCCGTGGTCCTGTGTGGCACGGGGCTCTCTCCTTCGCTAGGCGACCATGAGCGCTGAGGTCGCAGGTCAGCCGGAAGGAGCCACGTTGCTGAGGTGCATCGAGGATGGGTCAGTGGAGTACCCGGAGAAGATGCCCTTTATGTACTGGCTCCGTTGGCGTAAGGAAACGGGGTCCCGTCCCACCAAGAAGAAGGACGGACGATCCACGACGCTAGCAGATGAACAGCGTCTGTGGAAGGAGACGATGGAATTCCTCTACGACAACTTCGATGCCGAAGAGGAAGAGGAAGAAGATGAAGAGGAAGATGAGGAAGCTCCAGCTGCGGAAGCGGGCCCGGGTGCTCAGGATGGCGATCCGGGCCCCAGCTCTGAAGAGCTTCTGCCGGAGGCCGGGGTACCGGCTCCGCGTCCTGCCGCTGCGCCGGCGGACGTGGCCGAGACGGCGCGCCGTGTTGGTGCGCTTGCTCTCTCGCCGGTGGCCGGCGGCCCGGCCCGTTCCGGGCCTCCCTCGTCTGCTGGGACGGGTGGTCCCGTCACGGCGGAGACCCTGCAGGCGGACCTGCGGGAGCTCTACCGTCCCGACCAGGAACCGGTCGCGGATTACCTGACGCGGGTTTCAAGGCTGGTTGTGGCCTTGAAGGCGCACCAGGCAGAGGTCACGGTGGAGGATCTTGAGAAGATCACTACCAAGGCCACCATCCTTGCCGAGGAATACGGCAAAATGGGAGGTGACTGGCACCCTGCCAGGATGGTGCGGGCCCTGCGCACCAGGTTTACCGTTGCCGCGGTTTCTCTTGGGTCGGAAGACCGAGAGGAGGTCGAGAAGGAGATCTCGTGCCTCGGCGAGCTGATCTTGGCCCTGGGAGGCAAGAGCAGCGGCGATCCCGAGAAGGTTTGGAGCACTCCTTCTTCTGTCCCGGCCCTGGCGGCCCGGACGGGCGCCGTTGCGGAGTCGGGCTCTAAGTCCGGAGCACCGGCGCCTCTCCCGGTGGACCTTCAGCTCGCGATCCCTGAGGATCCGCAACCTGGTCCGGGGGACTCACCCCTGAAGTCCCGCCTTGCGGCTCTGGAGATAGAGCTCGAAGGGCTTAAGAAGGATAAGCCCGGCGAGCCTCACTCCGCCAGCGGCGGAGCCGGAGAGCTCGCTGCAGCTTTGGCGGCCCAGACCGAGGCGCTCAAGGAGGCCTTGGCGTCTCGCGGAGGTCAGACGTCGATCACGACCGTGAAGACGGACCTCCAATGGCCCTCGCTCACCGACGATCGCTCCGACATCCGGGACGTGGTCCAGTTCTACGAAGAGTTCGAGGACGTCTGTGGCCTTGCCAACAACTGCAAGGGGATGAATTTCCGGGAGAAACTCATCGCCCTTCGTGCTCGCTGCCGCGGCTCGAGGCTTAAGACCTTTACTAACGTGTACAAGGCTGCCTCCAAGACCGGGGAAGTTACTGAGAATCCCCAAGCCGTTTACGAAAGGATCAAGCAGCGGCACCTTGTCTTCGGCGAGAGCCGAGAAGAGAAGGAGATGAGGGTGGACGCGGAGCACGTCGCCCTCACTAAGGGCCGTCTCACAGGGCACCAGTTCGAGCCCCTGTTTGAGGCCTCCATCGCGGAGCTGGAGAGTGTGGGTCTTGGCAAGACAGCGAGGGAGCTCTTCCTAAGCTACTTGCGCAAGATGCCTCCACATCTCCAGAAGGAGATCCGCGGTGATAAGCGGTTGTGGCCTAGCGACGGCGCATCCGCAGGGCTTCGAGGCCCTTCGACCTGGGAAGAAGCGCATAAGGTCGTCCTCGAATATGAGCAGCGTGAGGCTGCGCATCGGGTGACGGCTAATAGCGTGTACGCAGGTTCGACGGAAGACCCAGCCCTGTCCGCCGCGCGGAAGGAGGTCGAGAAGCTGAGGACGGAGCTCAAGGCTTCTAAGGCCGCGGCCAAGGCGGCCGCCTCTTCCACGCTTGCCGCTGGTCCGAAAGGAAATGGAAAAGGTAAGCCTATCTGTTTCCATTTCCGCGACCACGGGAACTGCCCAAAAGGGGACGCGTGCCCTTACTCGCACGACAAGGAGCTCCGCAAAAAGGCCCTCGCGGCCAAGAAGGAGCGGGACGCGTCCACCCTGGCGACAACGCCGGGGAAGGGCAAGGGCAAGGGCAAGGGTGGACCCGGAGGGCAGCCCAAAGGCAAGGCCAAGGCCAAGCCCAAGGCGAAGTCCAAGGCGGGCGCGAAGCCGCCAGGGACTATCTGCCCTTTCTTCAAGAAGAACGGGTCGTGCCGTAAGGGAGCGGACTGTGACATGGTCCATTCGCTTCCCGCCACTGGGGGAGCCGCGTTGCCTTCGAACTGGGCGGCCCCGAGTGGCGCCGGGATGGTGAATCCCTTCGCTACGCTCTCCATCCAGATTGGGAGCGCTGGCACGGTTGTTGCGGCGAACTCCTCCGCTTTCCCGCTTGCCAAGAGCTCGTCGTCGAAGTTCAGCTCGTTGGACGAGCTGCCTCAGGACTGGTGGCACCTCTGCGAGAACGAGGTCGGGGGGTACCAGTACAGAACAGTCGTGCAGGTCATCGACGGCATGGTGGAATGCATGCTGGACGGGTGTGCAGGCTCGAACCACATCACGGAGGAACTCCTCTGTGGGATCCTCAACCGGGCTGCTGCCTTGGGGATCGGCACGGAGGACCGGAGGTTTCCTGTCGTGAAGTTCGAACGCTGGGTGCATCCGGAGTTCGTCCATGGGATCGCTGCAGGGAAGCCGGTGCCCCTGAAGGGGGCCGTCGTGCTGAGAGTCCGCTTTCTGGAGGGGCTCTCCCCCGACAACTGCAGCGAGGGTCCAGAGATATTCGTGCGCTGTAAAATAGCCGCGAAAGGAACCTCGGATTGGCATGGGCTCATCCTTGGCGGCCGCGCCTTGGATTGCTCGGGACGGCAGGGCTTGGGCTTCAAGCCCCTTCCTGACTGCCACTCCCTGGAAACCCTTGGGATTAAGATCCCCAGGTGCGAAGACTACAGTAGGTCGCGGAAGGACCGCGCCTACGCCTTCGAGTCCAGGCTTTCTAGTCTCGACGGTGCTCTGTGCTTTGAGCCGGGTACCGGAGGCAGGGACCTGCTCCGGTACAGCGGGGAGAACCCGCTGGAGCTCTTGGCCGGAGATGGGGTCATCGCACCTGTGAAGAGGGAAGGCAGTGGAGGCCAGGATGGCTCCCTTACGGAGGCTGTCCTCCCGGTAGAGTCCGCCAACTGCGAAGCAGTGCCTGGGCTGTGGCCCACAGGAGCCGAGGAAGGTTCGATCTTGCTGGTAGCCGAAGAGGACACGACTGTCTCTCCGGGTGCCGTCGTCGGCGAGGTCCGGACCGGGC